AGTCCTTCTACATGAATGAACAGTTTGAACAAACCCAGATGATAATTGGACTTTTAAAGGTACCAAAGTAGCAACTTCACAAGTCATGCAGTCAGCACTCATCTGAAAGAACAGAATGCATGATGGACACCTAATCTTACGAGGGCAAACTGAAATTCCAGGAGGAGGATCCAAACATCTATGCAACAGAGATCAGTGTGCTTTGATTAAAGTAAAAAAAGTGGGACTTTCTCTTTTCATGAAATGCCCCGTGAATCGATTTCAACATTACAAGAGAATATAGGAACTATAGATGACAGTTATATAGTCTCATCATTAATTAATTATACCAAGTGGTACATTTAATTATTTGCATTACTGAGATACTAAAAAACCAATGCGTTTCATGAGTAATTAATTATGATAGTTTTTTTCATTATTCCATAATCAGACATAGTGAAACCAAATGCACAATATAGTCACGCTACCAAAATCAAAAATAAAAAAAAATACATTTATAAGGAGGGTGAGTAATTTGCTTACTGCACCTCAATCTCATAATCGTGCATTTAGGCTAGTCTCATGTGATAGGTCTGGAGTCTGCTTGGAAGTGATTTTTGCTTCAGTTACCACCTTTCTGGATGCTGCACTCCCACTTGTTTCTTGAAAACAAAGGTAAGACAATGATTGCAGCCAAGAAACTAAAGTAGGCTTGCGAGTAACATCGTCAGATTCTGCAACCTGTGAATATAACTCATTTAGAATCATATTCTGGCCATCCTTTGGTAGTTGGGCTATTAGCTGTGCCAACTGCTTCATCAAGTCTGGTAGTACCTGAATAAGTAAATCTTAATGTTCAGTAAGTTTAGACACCAAAGTGGAGAGAAAAGAAGGCATAACACCTTTATTCAAACATCAACACTGATGCTCGTGGTAAATTGGAACTGACTCTCTCTCGAATTTTAATGATGTCACTAGATGTCACTAAATTACTTCTATATCAAGTGTTATGCAAACAAACTAGGGCTTGAAACTAGATTCCACATGCAGAACACAGAATAAAGAGAAAAAACGTGGTAAAATTTCTGATGGAAACCAACCATATGAAGAAAAGAAGCAAAATATTAGCTTACCTGTATATCAACTAGGGAAATCAGCCGTAAAAGTAAGTCTAGGATTTTCTTGCCAGGCTCTGACTCTCCTTGCCAGTTCTTCCACATATCAGCCTGGTGAGCGAAGTCTTCAATGCAAAGCCTTTTAGCTTTCTCGACAAGACAATGTATACAATAAAATATGGCTGGGCTTCCAGCAGGAAGATGTCGAACCAAGGCTGCAACTCCAGAAGCCATTCCCTCAAAAGGGGTAATCTTGGGATATTCCTGCCCTCATATTACAGAGAAATCTTGCTGTTGGTACCTTTAATCAATGAAGTGCAAGTTTAACCAATATAGTCACTATCTGCTTAACATACCTGTAGTGATCTTTGCATGTAGTAGAAAACAAGCTTCTCCTTTAATAACTCTCTTTCATCCTGATCAGCATCCTTCCCCGAAGATATGAATGCAGAAAACATAGAATGTGAGGCTCGAGGTACTTTTCCATTAGGATGACCCATATATCTGATTAAATTTGTAATAAGGAGTTAAATTATTCACAATATCCTATATAAGTTCATGAAAGATTTCGGCATAGGATACAAGAACATAGTTGGAGCAACCACATCACCAAATACAGGGCTAGGCAAACGTGCAATGCAAGTTGGTATGACCCGTAGGTAAAACAGAACGCGCGCAGTTTGAACCTCATCCTTGGTCCACACATATTCCATCTTTCGCAGGAAAGAAAATTCTGATAAGCAACATTAGAAATCTATCAAATCAAAGTATCAATACAAAAATGAGAGGGTGACAAAACTAAATTTAAGACCTCATTCCAGAAAAGTCAAATGTTAAATGAAATTTAGGGCTAAGACGGCAACCAAAGCATACCTGGGCCGTTCGTCAAGTCACCATAAGTGGGCATGGATCTTACAAAAGATACACAAGCAGAATCACTTTCCTGGACACTCACAACAATACCTCGAATTGTATCCATGTATTCTGGCAAACGAATGCGGCGGAAATACTCGAGACAAGAAAACGAAATAAGTATTCGTACTGATGTATCCATTTGAGTTTCTTGAGTGAATTTTGAATTCAACTTGTGCTTTGTGACGGTCAATGCAAAAAGTACAACCATAAGAAAAGCAGATTCAGCAATTTTCTCCAAATCTCCAAGTACTTCATCCTCTTTACCACGAAGAACCAAAGCCACCTGTCTGTGCTCCATGTATATCTGTTGACAGTAATCCCACAGAAGATTCTCCACCATATGTTGGCTCTGTTCATCAACTGAAACATAGAGATTGCAGAAAACACCGGTAATGGCCCCCGCTTCCTTAAAAGCAAGACTTTCCAGGTGTTCCCTGACCTCATTAATCCTTGGTACAGCTGAACTGTCATGCATTGGTTTAAGTACCTTCATGTATAAACGTCTCAAGGGAAAGATTTCAGTCAACAATGCAGAAGCAAGGCATATAAGCAAAGGGGCACGAGCAGAGACCGCACCAGTTCGAGCCAATGCTATCGAAACACACTGTAGCAGAAGATTATCTGCGAGATCATTATCTGAGCTGGCAAACTCTATAGTTCTTGAAACTAACTCTCTTGCTACAGATTCTATCCGATCTTCTGCAGACCTTCTCAATCTGGAAATAGTGTCCATCCCAAGACCACTCACTATAGATCTACTTAACGCCCTCAGTACTCCAGCTGCAGCCATGACAACAGCAAACGGAACATAATTTGCTTTATCGGTCTCTAAAACCTCCCGGGAAAAGGTATCAACTTTTTCGACAGAGCGAAAACTGCTCAAACCAGACATTACCCATTCCATCAAATGCAGAATCATCAACCCATGACAAACACTACCAGGAGGCCCACTTTCCTTACCCCAAACGCTCAACACGAAATCCAAAACAGTAACAAAATGAACATTCACAGAAGAAGATAGAGCATACCCAATTCCGGCAAGCAAGTCCGGAATCAATTCACCAAATGACCCAAGTACCTGGTAGTCCTCCGCCAACAGCCTACAGAGCAGCCCCAAGCAATCTTTTTTCGAGCTTTCGGAGGCCGAATGAGCGAAAGAGAAGGCACCCAGAAGGAGAACGCCTTCAGAAAAGAGGGCAGGACTCTTGTTTGATACATACTGGGTAGAGAAGAGATTAGAGAGAACTTCCACAGCGGAATCAATGAGACCCGAATTGGGCCGGGCGGATTTCCGGACCCAAATATAAAGCAGTCGGAGGAAGAGCGGATAGGACTGAGGAGGAAGAGAGAGGTCGGGAGAGGAGAGAATGGAGAGCAGAAGCTTGGCTTGGGGCTCGGCAACGTGGAGAGAAGTCTGGGAATTGGCGAGGGTTTTGAGGGACTGGAGATGGCGGGATTGGAACGATTGGTGTTGGAGGCAGTCGCGGAGCTCGGCCCATGCCTGAATTATGGCTCTTGCGGATGAGGTGGATGAGTTTCTGGAGACGGCGGCGGAGGTGTTCCTGCTGCTGCCACCGCCGCTCACACTCCTCAGCCAATCTTCAAGGAAAAGGTGCGGAGCTGATTTTGCCGCCATTGTACCAGCTTCCAACTGTAAACCCTAATTATTTATATGAACATGTTATGTCAGTTCAACAGTCAACTTGGGCCATTTCCGGTAAATTCAGAAATAAAGGGGATTCAGAGGACACAGTTTCCACCGCGCGTTAACAAACGTCCGTGCAAAAAAATGAAAAAGGGTATTACTTTTGTTGCTCATATTGGTAAATTGGACCCGGTGCTTATATTTTCATCTAAATATATCATCATTTGTATTATATTTTTAATAGAGAAAAGACTCACGTATGTTGACGGATCCTACTTTTATTAGGAAGATGGTATGTATAACAGTACAAATAAATAGTAAGTATAACACTAATGAAAAATTTATCAATGTCGTCCTTGAATATGAAAACCGTACATCAATATCGTCATTATGTCAAAACTTTATAAAATTGTGTTGTATGATGATGTGCCTTAGGAGTGGGAGGGATCCACTTTATCTAATAATGGAATACGAGTCTCTCTCATTTTTTTGCAGTGTCCTTTTATCACACTTTCTCTTTTGTCTTTTTTTTTTTTTTTTATATAAAAAATTCAAAATAAGATATTAACGTGATTCATGAGAAGAGAAGGAGGAGGAGAAAAACCTACTCCAATAATAATGGGTACATGGACTATACAATGTGGTATCCTCAACGTTATCCCCAAAAGAAGCAACAGAGGAGGAGCTAAGCAAGAGCAAGCGAAGATGTCAGTGTCAGCTGTGTTGGGGTCTCATTCGGTGCCGGTGGGTCGTTTGGAGTGACCAATTCAGCCCCATTGTGCGGCTCAACCACCGGTAATGGTGGTGGGTTGATGATAGAGTGCTCGTCAAGGCCACAGAAGAAGGCGACTGCGCACCACCGGAAGACTCGGCCACGCAAAACGCAGCCGTGGTTCGTTAAACGCAAGCCCACTGTGTACGCTCCCCTGCAGAGTGGACCTTGCTCTCCAGTGCCGACGAAGCTGCTTCCGCTTCTGCATCTTCTCCGGAAGAGCCTTCCACTGCCGAGTAGTCGGTCTCAGTCAGTGGAGCTTCTTATTTACCCCCAATTAATTCATGTTGTTATGTTTTGTCTAATTTATATCTGGAGATTTGAAGCTGTTTGTTTAATTTCAATTAATATTTACTTGTTTAAAATGAATCATCAGAGTCAGAATTTGAACTCATTTGTTTGGACATTATGAAACTTGGGATTTCAACTGGAGTGGCATAACGCAAGACTTGCAAGTTGCAGAAATGGGGTGCGGGGAGAGAATTTCAGATTTTAATGGCATTCATATTGATGAACAGAGAAATTTCTTGGTAATTGAACTCCTTCAACCTTTTGATTTGTGGAGAACATAATATATTCCATTTGGACGAAGAAGTTTAAGATTACTAAGAATTGTCAGAACCCAAATGATATCTACAGAAACAATCGAGCCCTCAAGTCACCGCGTGTCTCAAAATGATCAACTCCATAACTCGCCAAGAGGTACGCGACTTTGTTTTTCCAGAACCAGATATATGTCACGGCCTCAACAACCAACAGAAACCATACTGGGATGAAACTGGGGATGAGCAGCCGATTATCACCTGTGGATTGTCGGACTTATGTTCTCCCTGACCGTAAAATATTTGGCCGGCCTTCGATTTATCAGCATTGCTCCTTCTCTGTAGATTGCTTGGTCCTTCTGCAGTTTCTTCTTTATTTTTTTATCCTCCATGCTGGCTTGTTTATGGTGCGAGTCCGGGCTGATTGGGCTCTGCGGCTTGGCTGCCCTTTTGCTCTGGTTTCCATGTTCCTTCTCAGAAAAATAAAAAATTTATAACTGAGGACTTCAACAAAATCCCCATATCTTTCAGGAAATGATATCCTCACTTGCACATTTTTCGCTCCTGTTATAGCACTTACCGCCTTCAGACAACATTTACATGATTACAGTTTCATTCGGAATTAGGCCGCACATTCAAAGTCGACTGGATTGGGGTCTGAGGACTCTGAACTCAGGTTTCCACCACCAGCTGGGAAATCTGTTTCACCCAGATGGACAAAGTGATTGGGATTGGGACCAGTAAGCCGCTCTAAAACGTGCGCTCAGCTTGAAAGCTGCGGCACAGCACATGTTTCTGCACAACTGTAATACTAACAATAAAAAGTCTTTATGGGAAACCACCAGAACAAATATACTCTCACAAAATTGTCTACCACCCCTCGGCCCTTGCTGATTTAAAATAGCTTGCTTTCTTTATGAGCAACACATCAAATAATAAAATCACAGAGCACACCTGATATACTATCAATTAACACAAAACATAAACAGAATTGCTGGATAACGATCATCAAAATAAATACTCACAGTTCACGTTGAAGATTTGGAGGAGTTGCACCTCGCGTTCCATGAATGTAATCTGCATTTATTGATCCACAAAACCCTGCCACACCAGTTGCCACATCACTGCACACCTGTGACGGGAACGAGACATTTTAGAAGGTCAGTGCATGCAACGATACATTTTAGATGGCTTGACTTACATGACAATACACCTTCAGCCATCCATGTCAAGCAACCGAAGTCTGATTGATGCACTCTTTCTGCTTAAAAGCAAACTTCCACATAAGCCGTCATAACAGATCCAGGCGCATACCACAAACAATACAAGTTAATGTAAACAAAATACTTCAGTGTATCTTAACTACCCTCCCTTAAGAACAATCTACATTTGATCTTCTGATCTGCTTGATGAGTTACTCGAATAATCTTTTCAAATTCTGTATCTGACAGGAGCAACTGAACCTCTAATTGAAGTCTCTGTTTACTCCAATACAATGTGTTTAATCTTAATACCCAGACACATGGTACTAATATAGAAGCAACCAAAGCTGTAAACACTGACCCATGTAAAACTGATGTCAACATAGAAATCAGTGGGATGACTCTCCTAATAATCTACTTCTTTGAATTAGTGATAGAACAAATTCTCCCAAAATCTTAATACTCATTTGTTGAATTTACAACGCTCACGAGGCACCCACACAGCCCCACACACACACACACACACACACAAAAAAAAAAACACAAGCTTCTTCAATGAAAGAGAATATCGTAAGAAGATGGCATTCCAAATTGTGAATCAACATAAAGAACTTTTACAGCAATTTTGTAACAGCAGACATGGCTCACCACACAAATACACGCACATGAGCATAAGCTGTACAAGCATTCACAAACACAGGACCACCAAGTGTCATACTTGACAACGTTTAAATTTCCGTACAACCTTGGATATAGAAAAACCAGTCTCAACCTCAATGCCAGCTTCATAGCTAAAAGGGGTAACTACTAAGTACAAAAGATGTAGGAACGCTCTTTGTTGAATTACATGCCAAGAAAACACAAGTACTAACAGACAATGAACACTGCCTTTTTTTTGAAAACACTAAACAGGAAGCATATTTGCTATATGTATGATATGGTTGGGCATTTTCACACATAGTTTTCGCTCTTTTGTATGGTTGGGCATTTCACCCTAATCCTAGTAGGACTTTAACGAAGCGGTCAAACATGGTTCCATCAATTGTAAAGACCATGACAACACATTTATATATGCCTCCTAGCAAAACAAAACCTAAGAACCTTGCTTCTGGAGACGCAAGTCGTTAAGAGCAGATGCCATCAATTGCTCTCCAGTAACTGATCTGCACTGTTTGACGAAATCATCCCTGGCCAGCTTTCCACCCTGCAACATTGAGAAATACCGAAAACATTTGATTCTTAGATTACATTTAATTGTTCATATATTTTATAATGCACAGAGAGACTATGAACCACAATTCTGAACAAGTGAAAGGAAGATTGCTCACCTTCAACTCGCATACCAAAGAGGAAAGTTCCTGAACTTTAGAAGGAGGAAGATGGCTCTTAATCTTCGAAATTAACATATCAACAGGGTATGCTCTTCGCACCGATTGAGCTGAAAATCCACAAAACAAAATCAGTTATCATCAATGAAAAAGTATAACATAAATAAAACAGATGTAACAAAAAAGCATAGAAGAAACATACCTGGCACGTAATTCGACTTGTAACTCACAACACACTCCGGAAGCACATGTCTATTCATGTTGGTAGACCATATGACATACCACTTGGGATTCTTAGGATCATCTGCACCGTTATCGAATTCCACACCAGAAGGGTAACATTGTTTAGAACCTGCCTCAATTTTTTCAACATTGCCTAGTATAACCCGGCACAAAATAGCATATTTTTCGCCATTATCATCCCACTCCGACTGCCCAGCACTGTAGAGTTCAGCCATTACAACATCAAATTATCAACAATTCAAAAAACTCAAAGCCCTTAAATTAAACCGCCAGAAAAAGGAAATGAAACACCAATTGAAAGTACCTTAGAAAAGGCACCGATAAATGCGAAAGATGAAGACCAATGCCATGCGACTGCGGCCCAGAAACCTTGCTGGGTGCGCCAAACCCATGTGTCAAAATGCCTTTCACATCGTTGCCCGACACTCCGCACCAGGCGTATATGACATTGGCCGAGCCCCGAGCCGCCGTGGTGATCTCAATTTGCTTCTGAAAGACCTCCAATCGAGCCTTATCCAACGGCCCGTCCCGAACGCACTGATGAATTGCCGTCACAGCAGCCGCGAGATCAACCTTCTTCATCCCGGCGAGAAACAAATTGCTGCAAACAGTATAAACCCTCTCAGGTTCTCCCACCAACCTCACATTCGGCCACTCCGAACTCCGCGGCGTTATTGACGACGTCACTTCGTCCTCATCCATCGGCCGTTCCCCCGTCTGCCTCTTGCCCAATACCCGACCCGATACGTTGATCCGTTTGTTGATTTGGACCTTGGGACTATCCGACCCGTCCACCAAATCCTCGCTGACAAACGCCCTAGGGAAGAAGGGCTTGGCGTTCACGTCAATCCAAGCGATCGATCTCTGAGTCCCAGCCCCCAAATCAATCTGCAACATCCGCACAAAGTCAAACAAAACCGTTGACCCCTCGATTTCAACGCTGACGACCGCCTTCCGCTCCACGAAACCCGAACGCAGAAATTCGACGATCGGGGTCGGCAAGTCATTCCATGAATCGTTCTGGAAGAACATAACACGGGCCGGGGCGGCGCTCCGCTTGAAATTGGAGGGGTAGTACATCCGATTGGAGGGCCGATTGCAGAAGTTTTTAGAACTCGCCGAAGAAGACGACGGCGAAAGCATCCCCTGCGGTACCCTAACGGTGACAGATTGGACAATTTTCTTGGGGGTGGGGGTTGCGCTGGAGGCCATGGATTCTACTGTGTGGAGCTTTTCGAGCTGATGCGACGGCCTCACAGAACTCAAAGAAACTCGTAGAATCAGGGGATGTTGGGTTGGCGTTAGGATTTATTGGGCGGAATATGGAGTGTGAATTACTAGAACACCCCTCTATGGCGGTGCTTTTTGTTCGAATAGTTTGAGTTTATGAAAGGGTAAACTCGGTAATTCACATGTGCGTTATGCGGCTGGCGTATCTGTTTCCTTCGGCCCAAAGAAAATTATTTAGAGAGAGAGAGAGCGGGAGGAGAGAGAACCGTTGGAATGGGTTTTGATGATGTGGATATTTGTTGTTTGGATGAGTTTTATACGGTGCAAAAGGCGGAGGGGAATAAATCCCCATCGCGGTAGGAATCCCATTGAGTATAGGAAACCCATCCTCACTGGGAAAATGAATTATAAACGGTTACATGTACACGTGAATGGCACGTGATAACGGAAATTATTGGGCCTTTTTTTTTGTTTGGGGAACAAACAATATATTATTTACATAAAATAGAGTGCAAGAAAGGATTAAATCTGGTAGGCTAACAATAATTTAATTCAAATTTGTAGAATCAAACTGTCACCGCTTTGGATTCTGATCACGTCCTCATGGTTTTATTTCTGAGACCTCAGGCCCCGACCACGTCCTCACGGTTTTATTTCTGAGAACTCACACGAGAATTTCCTAGTGAGTCACCCATCCTAGGATTACTCTCGCGCAAATTTGCTTAACTTTGGAGTTCCGATGGAACCCGAAGCTAACGAGCTTCCAAAAGTCTTCGTGCTAGGTAGAGATGAGAATATACATATAAACCTTACAGGATCCTCATCCCTGGAGATGTATAATCTTACACAAACCTAATACCTCTCCATTATAAGTTAAGAAATACCACTAAATCTTCAATTAAAAAAAAGTATATGAGAAATAAAAAAGAATGTGTTAATAGCAATTACTCAATTTAATTAAGGTAAGGAACATGATTAAACATATACTGTGCCTACTACGGTTTAATGAAAAAAATATTTATGGGCTAAAGGGATTTTTATTTTATTATGTGCTTGATTAAGGAAAGTACAGGTACATAAGAATTCCTAATGCGAAGGATGCATCCAATTACATTTTGGAGTAATATTTTTCCCTCTTAATCTCTCTTCCTTTCATACTCTTCTTATTTAAACAGTTACGATTAAATCACGTTAACATTTTGTATTGAATTTTAAATTCTATAAGGATAATTTTTTATAAGGAAATTGTTTATATTATAAATCATTCTATAAGAATATTTTTTTTGCAAAAATAATATTATTTAGTGATCAAACTATATAAAAACATATTACATTACAAACGATCTAATTTATTTACGATAATTGGTCGATTAAACGATATTAATTTTAATTGATTATAAAAAAAATAATTTATAATGCAAACGATTTCTACCGTAAACACAAAGTTAAGTGATTAGAATGTTTTGATGAAAACTCCTTAATCTTATGGAACCAAGATCTTCTCTTTAGATCGAAGTATTTATTGTCGTCTTTTTTTTTTTTATTAGAAAATCTCAGTTATGGATCGAGGCTTTCTCGCTTAACCAGACCCGGTTCACTTTTACTAGGGATTTCATGCTTTTGGCTTCCCAAAACCAAAACACTCGTTCATCGGAAGAAGGAAGCAAAATCAATGTCCAGGAGTTGAACAAATTCTGTCTTCCGACCAAACTGAAACCCCTGCTTCTTCCGAATCCACCACAACCGGTGAGTCTACCTTTGTCAATCAGTCTCTCATGTTCTCGTCTCTTCATTTCATTTTCCCAAGACACAATTTTTTTTTTTTTTTTTTTTTTTTTTTTTTTTTGCAATTTGGGGCAGATGAGGGAACTTTCGTTGTACCGATATTTTCCCGGCTGCCAATCAAAAAATATTAGGGGTTATGTTTTGTCTGCTGGCTTTTGTATCATTGTTGGTAAAAGACTAACACTGTATTTGGATGAAAAAATTTAAAATTATTAAGAAATTTTAAAATGATGAAAATTGAAATGACAAGATTTTATTTTTTAGAATTTGTGAATTTTCTTATTTGGTAAATCTAAAAGGACAGTGGAATTGAATACGGAATTTGTTATTTTTAAACTCTAACATTATGTTTGGGCAAGGAAAATAAACTTAAAATTTTGGTAAAAGTCTAAATTTATAAATTGACATATACCAATTCCTTTGTTTGGATTCATACACATAGAAATTTAGAATTTTCGCGTGAAAAAAAAACTTGGAATTTGAGAGCTCCAATTTCCAAGTTCAAATTCCATGCAAATATGTGTTATTTCCCAATTTCTATGATTGAGAGTTTAAAAATCATAAATTCCGTATTCAATTTCATTGTTCTTTTAGGTTAACCAAACAAAAAAATTTACAAATTCTAGAAAATAAAATCTCGTCATTTTAATTTCCGTCATTTTGAAATTGCTTAGTAATCTTAAATTTCTTCATCTAAACATAGTGTAAATCACAAAAATTGGGAAATGACACTTATTTACATGAAATTTAAACTTGGGAATTGGAGCTTCCAAATCCCAAGTTTTTTTTCCATGCAAAAATTCTAAATTTCTATGTTTATGAATCAAAACAAGAGAATTAATGTATGTCAATTTATAAATTCTGATTTTTACCTAAATTTCAAGTTTAATCCAAACATAGTAATGACTGGGACAAGGACTTTTTTGTTTATTTTTATTCAAGCGATATTCAATTCTAATCTAAACTATGAGGAGGGGGATTCGAACCGGGATATGTTAGTGTAACGTTTACTGTGTTTTTAGAGCTCTGTTTGTTTAAATACAATGTTTCAGTGGAAGACATTTTGAGAATGTTTTTGAGAGGATCCGAATTTTAGATTTTCGTATGTTTTATTGTTTTTGTGTTACATGCAAAGGGCTGTTGGTCTGCTATAATTTTGGGTGGAAATGTCGGCTCCATTGACGCCGTCGAAGAGACCACATGAGGAGAGCCTTGCAGAGACTAATGGGAAAGGGAAGTTGCAGAAGTCTGAAAATCAAGCTTCTGAACTCTCCCCTGGCAATGTTGCTTTCAGGGTACTGTGCCCTGCGTCCAAAGTTGATAATGTCACTGGGGAAGGTGGCTCTGTCATATCACAGATTTTTCAAGAAACTTTTGTAAGGGTTAGAATTGAGGAAGCTGTCCCGGGATGTGATGAAAGGGTTATTGTTGTGGGTTCTGATGGAGAGAATGATGTTGGTAGCGAGCATATAAAGGAGGATGGTGTTGAAGAGGCAAATGTGGATGAAAAGCATGATGGTACTAGGGAGCCAAGAGAAAAGCATGATGTATCTCCATCTTTGCTGAGGGCTCTGAAACTTGTTTTTGAGAGAATAGTTGAAGGGGAAACAGAGAGCGATGGAGCGGATGAAGAAAGTAATAAGTCTTTGACATTTGTTTGCAGATTACTAGTCCTTTCATCTCAAGTGGGATGCCTCTTGGGAAAGGGTGGTAGTGTTATCAAACAAATGTCATCTGAAAGTGGGGCACAAATCCAGATCCTTCCCACAGATAAACTTCCGTCATGTGCGGCAGTTTGCGATGAACTAGTTCAGGTAACTTCAAATATCACTATATATTATGTAATACCATCAAGCATTGCTGCAGAGTACATAATTTTATTTTAGTCAAGATATGAATAAGTGAGTTGTGCCTACTTTAACAGTTTCCGTCACTCAGATCTTATTTAATCAGCAGGGTTGTCAAAATGCTCATGCAATGAAATATTGCGGATGTAATATTTACGCATTGTATGTAATCTTTAAGCATTGGAAATTTGCACAGTACAGTAGAATTTGGTTTACGTGTATATGTTGATGATTCTGATGCAAAAATTTCTATTTGGACATCCTATTTTGATAATTCTGCTGCAGATTTCGGGGAACATTGATGCAGTTGGGAAAGCTATTGAATATGTTTCCCGGCAGCTTTTGGATAATCTACCTCATGATAGTGACACTTCCCTTGCCAACACCACTGGGACATCATCTAATTCATTCGGTCAACCTCTTCTAAGACAAGAAATACATCCACCACCTAACCACTCCGAAGGGGCTCCTGATATTTATAAGCCTGGAGATTTTGCTGCTCATCCAGTAAACCCTAAATTACATGGAAGTGGCATCCCTGGTAGGATGAAGCCTTCTCAGGAAGTCCTAACTTTCCGCTTATTGTGCCCTGAAGAGAGAGTAGGTGGTGTAATTGGCAAGGGAGGAACCATAATAAAGACACTTAAGCTAGAGACAGGCTGCGAAATCAGGGTTATGGAAGGTGTTCCTGACTCAGACGACCGTCTTATTGTTATATCTGGTCCTGTGGTATGGTTTTGGCTTTTTCTTCTTATTGGACACATGTTTTTGGCGCACACAAGAGAAAAACGATACACACACATTGACAAATAGAGGCACACACAAGCATGCACACGGACACAATCTAAGCTGTTTGACATACAATTTACTATTGCAGCATCCAGATGACAGGATATCACCAGTCCAAGATGCCGTTATTCGTGTGCAAAGTAGGATATTCAGGGCTGTACCTAATAGCAAGGAACAATCCATGATGGCGAGGCTTCTTGTTTCCTCTAATCAAGTAGGTTGTCTCCTCGGAAATGGTGGTACCATTATTGCGGAGATGAGAAAGTTATCTAGGGCCCATATCCGTATAATGGGGAAGGATCAAATTCTGAGATGCGCTTCAGTTGATGAAGAAGTTGTTCAGGTGTGTTTTCCTTAGTGCATGCGTGGTTCTTTGAGTCTGAAAAGGTTGGCCAGATCTCTATCTTGGGTATCATTATGTGAAGTGGCTGCTTTTGCTTCTCAGTTTAGTTGCTGTAAACTTTATGTGGATTTGTGCATGTTGTTGATATTAATAGTCCAGAAATGCTGTCTTTGTTTGCACGCAAGTGTTCCGTGTTTTATCATATTTAACAAACTCAGCCTTTTTTTTCTAATCAGCTGTGGTCGCTGCTAAACGGTTCCTCTTATTACAGATAAATGGAGAATTTGAGGCCGTTAAAGATGCTCTTCTGCAGATTACCACTAGGTTGCAGCATCACCTTTTTCGTGATGCATTTCCTTCTATACATTATCATCAAAATCCTGCATTTTTGGATCAACCTCCATTTCAATCATATCTGAGGAGGGACTTCTCACCTCCAGGAATGCATTCTAATTTAGGCCCATCATTGCACAAGTTTGTTGCTGTTGGTGGCCTGCCCCCTCATGGTAGTTTTCATCCTCACGACGATCGTCCTCCCTTTGTGCACAATATTCATAGGTTAGGTGCCCGCCCACATTTATCCGAGAGAAGACCTTGGGGCCCTCAGGTATTTAGTTGTTATAGACACTTTTACTTATAGTTCTGCTTTAGATGGTTTCTGTATTTCTCCACATACATCTGTTTCAACTTTTGTTGATTTTTTCAGTCAGGTACTTCAAAATTTTTCATCATATGTTTGTTTCATCTTGAGATAATTATGTGTGGAAATTGATCTGCACTCTATGTTAGTTTGAAACGGGCAAGTCTAATTGTACGTAAGTTGCTGATTTACGTTTGTATCCCAAACTTATCCACAGGGACTTCATGAAGGTGGTGGTCCACTAGGCTTGCCAAACTTTCCAGGTGCTCCTCAAAGAAGAATTCCAGGGTTTGGAGGAAGCCAACCAGCAATAGTTACCAACACCACTATTGAAGTTGTCGTGCCTAGTTCCCTTGTTCCTATTATAAATGGGGAAGATGGTGAATGCTTGAAGCAAATACGTCAGGTACATTCTTGATCTGACCTTGTTGGCGTAAAGGAAGAAAACAAGGATTAATAACATATTATTAAATAGATGGCCGTGAGGATATTTGGAAATGGAATGAAATACACTGAGAAGCCTGTAAGTATATGGGGTAGTGTACATCTGCTCAGAAAAACTGCTCCCACCTGATTGACGTTTGCTTGCTCATAATCGCCCTTCCCCATTACTCCTAATTCCACAAAATTAGGTGACCAATTTTTTTCTATTGCTTTTGCACAATGTTAATTAGAGAATCTATGTTCGTCGCTTCAGACATAGTCTACTTATGTCTAGAATCAACGCAAATAAATTAATTGTCAGGATACACCAGTTGAACTAAAACCAATGGAGTGGCATAGATAGATAGAAATATGGAGAAAGAAGGGAGGTGAAACTAAGAAAGAAAGAGGGCCGCGAGAGAGGACAGAAGAGGGTAGTCTAGGATTTCAATATTCTTCAATTGTTTGCATAATCGAGTTTAAATTCGTACGCTACATTAAGTGGATCTCACTATGCTTGGTGTTATATGCAACAGGCCTTGCCTTGCCTTGTGCTTGGAAATAAATTGAGCTGTTCGCAATATGCTGATTATCGTTATTATTTTTGTAAAAAAAACCTCAAATTCGATTGGCCTGTCCTTTGCTTACTGTGTGCTTGGTTTTCATTGCATGATAAAGTTCCAACTTACAAATTTATTGGAATTTGGAAGCGTATATATACATATATTTAATTATTTATGATTCTACAGTTTCATTTAGTAAGAACATGCTTTGTTGCATAGCATTTACACTTCTAATATGACCAACACTGTTCCAGATTTCTGAAGCAAAAGTTACCATTACCGAGCCCAAGCCTGGAGCAGTTGAAACTGTTATTATAATATCCGGAACACCTGAACAAACGCACGCTGCGCAGAGCCTTATTCAAGCATTTGTGATGGGTGAGACCGAATCTTCTTGATTTAGGGTAATGCTTTTCTTCTTCTTAATTTGGTCATCATAACTGGGTACATTTATAGCACAAATAGCACAATATATAGAAGTTGGTATTATATACATATACACTGTACCACAATAGTATCAAATTATGCTTTTGTTATTGTTTTGTTATAAGTCAGGTCTCTCATGCTCTCGCTAAGTTGCATGAAAGAACACTCCATATAGTTTGTAACGTCTGCTATTGGAAAACAGTTTGTCAGCTGAAGACTCTGAAGATTTAGATCTGCAGAACCATAATGTTGCAGTCCCAATAATCGTGAGATTTCTGAACCTAACAGTGCAAATTCGTTGGTCCATACATGAAGAGTGTTCCTCCTTTTCAAGTTATGCGAGGATCCCTTTTGGCATCCATGAAAGTTGAAGAAAAGATTGGCTTGGATAATAAGGTTGTAGTAAGTTTCGAGAAAGTTTTAATATCACATTCTAACCTGTCTTGTGTATCCGATAATCTGAGCATGTGTGAAACTTTTATATGAAATGTTAGATAACCTTGCCATGTCAATTTTAGGTAAATCCAGTCTAAACTATTTTTTTCTCAAAAGGAAATAAAAAAAAAATTTCAGAAAGCATGACAACTTTGTCTTTCATTCATTTCTGTGTGCGTCTGCGCAATGAAACATGCCTTACCATTACTTCCTAGTACATGCTAAGCTATCCTTTTTCAGTAAGACTCCAATTAATGACGTTAATGTTAATATCAGAACAGTAAACAAAACCGGTCCTTGTCAGGTGCTTAGATGAGTTTAGATATTTACTCTTGTGTTTGGCAAACATTTGGTTACGTTGTTTTGAAGTGAATGTCTTGATTAGAACAGTTTTAGTTAAGGTTCAGGTTTGTATGCTGTCTTTCGCACTCGACTTATTTTTCTCTCTAACTATAGATTGTAACATGCAACATAGAATCTATAACCTCCATTGTGCCTATACTGAAAATCTGATTAATTACAGAGGCAAGTTGTTAGATGTATTAACCTTGGATCCATGTTGACAATACGGTGGATGGTGTTGCGTAATTATTTTCTTTTATTTTGTGCTTAAATATTCATGTTTAAATATAATGTCTTATTTATTTCTGGTAGGGTAAACATTTTTATGTTATGATCAGCATAAATCACAACATAGTGTTCAAAGTTTGACCCATCTGACTCATCTGTCGTTGTCATTTATAGAGAAACAAGCTCAGTTTCGTTTACCTATTGTGAAAATTCAGCGGTGTCGAAACCCCTGGGGATAGTGGTGAGACCTCTGAGGATAAGTGGGAAGAAGAATTAGGTTTAGGCTAGGTTAAGAGTTTGGTTCCCTTCACCGGAAATAAGGGAAGTCCAACTTGCCCTACCGAAAAGCCTTCGTAAATGAATTAAGAGTAACTGGAGGGTGTGTTATAGTATATAGTACTATCTTGTTGGCTTAAAGATATATGCATCTACGAAACTGTATGTTCTCAAATATTGTTTCCGTAATCCACATTCCTTTATTTTGGTTGTTCCTTCCATTTACTTTTTCTCTTGTTTGAGAAATACATTGCAACCGTGACCAGTTTGATAACTTCAAACTTTAGGAGATATTGAAAATTACAGACTTTATTACTATGAGGGTTTTGCTGGAAACAATTAATCACACACTACTCAAACCTATATATATATATGTTATATAAATAGGGAAAAGGGACTACTATTGCTCAGTGTGGAAGGGCTTGTATTTCTTGACATCGGTTGTCAGACCTTGAATGGATGCAGCAGCTGCAACAAGCGAAATCACCAAGCACACCCAGCTCAGAATCTTCATCCAAGTCCAGGTGAAAGAAAACTTGGGGATTTTTGTCCTTGCCATGTACATCTCTATCGGGAAGTAGACTGTCAGTGGCCAGAACGAGGCTGCTCCGAGCAATGCCAGGAAGTCATTGAAGAACGGGAACAACATGGCCAGGATTGCGGTCATCACCACGTATGCAGTCCTCCACACCAATCTGAAGGAGTTGACGCAGAATTGACCGCAAAACGGAATGTTAATGGGGTACTCGCTGTTGATGAACTTGCTATCTGGCCACCGTTTGGCGCATTTGCTTTCCACAAACCCGAATATGGGCTGGCAGAAGACCTGAAGAAGATGATCATGTCATGCACGCGGTCATGTATAAGAAACAGTAAGAGTATTGTTATTTATACCATCGCAACTGCCAGTCGTATTGTGTACCATCTCTCTAATACAGGTATATTTCATTTAGATGTGTAGTTGCATGAGTAGATAAGTAATGTGCCAATTTAGATTCTGAATTATTACGCGATTAAAAATTAGGTCCTTAAACTCTTGTTTTGGAAACATCAGCCCTTAAACTAATTAAAATCTATCAGTACATCCCTAATATAAGATTCGAAGTGATTATATTCAATTTTTAGTCAACTAAGTCATGTGACTTGCATGTGATACACTCTGAAGGGTATATGGTTGTTTTTCATGAGTCTAAGGGATTATTTTTTTTTAATAAAGAGTAAAGAGAGTTAACTTTGGAGGATAAACAAAAAATTAGATTTCCAACTAATATGCAATGCTAAGGATTCATAGGCAAGAAAATAACAGTATTACCTCTAAAATGTGGTTGACAAAAAATGGGATAAAACTATAAAAGTAGTTTTGAATATAATAGTAGGGATGAAATTAACAGTTTTTAATGAGTTTTGGGACTTATTTTACCGAGATAATAGTTTAGGGATTTAATTTTACTCGGTTGATAATTCAATGACTAAATTGATGATTCACCTTAGATAGATAGATAGATTATTCCACCTCTACTAGAACGATGGTACCCAACATAGTCATGGTTAATAAGGGCTAAATTACCTGGTAAGCACCGATTAGGTGGATGGCGATGCAAATGTTGGCGATATCAACAAGCCAAAAGGGTTCATAGAATCCGAAACCGGTGAGAAAGTTTCCGGGTGCATCATTCCCAAAAGCTGCATAACCAACGGAACCGCAGAGAACATAGAACAGGGTGGTGGTCGCAATGCCAACGCTAGTTGCCCTCTTCATGGCCTTGTTCTCTGCCGGGGGTGATTTCAGTGTGTCCTGCAATTAGGCCAATTCCATGAGCCACAACCATACTCTTATAGGATTATTCTTACAAGTCTGGATTCCACAACCTATAAATTTTCACTTTCAGCAGTGTCTAGTAATTAATACGGGAGATGATTTTCACACATCTCTTTCAAGGTTATCTTCTGTCATTGGATTGAGTAAATTGAACGGAAACAACAAATAAGATTAAAATAAATGTGTAGAAACTAGATAAATAGTTTGTGTTATTATTTTAAATATACATCACCTTTTTTTTAATGAGAAAATGACTTGTCTAGCAACTCACTTCGACGATGATCACCTACCCCTTGTTTTAGACTCTTTTTGGTGTGAAACTATTTGCTTTTTATTATAATATATCACCATTTTATTAAAAATTTCAATCCAAAAATGTATGAAGTTTTTCTGTCAAACTTAATAAGAAATGTTCTTGTTAAAATTATCATAAGCACTTTTACTCAATTCAAAAGCAATTTTCTAAGAAGTCACTAATTGTAGGTATAGCCACAAATAAACCAAATTTTCTTCTATAATACATACCACTGAGTGATATAGAAAATTAAAACAGTTATATGTTAAAATAGGAGTGGTCCAAAAGGAAAAAGCTAAGGAGACCACCTACAAAATATAGTTTAAATAGGTAGTCTCTCTAGCATCACTTGGTCCATAAATACAATAGTTAAATCTTATATAAACTTGTATCACATAGTAGTATATGTAACCGAACCCAAAATCAAAGAAACAAACAATCATGCCAAAAATTATCAAAAGAAAAAGAAAATAAAGACATGACATGCACATTTTCCTTTAATCATTATTATGGCATAGAATTTAAGAAAAACTAATGAAAATTATTTGAAAATTTTGAGTTTTAACAATAAGAACAAAATAAAGGAAAAAGTGAATAGTATCAAAATTGACTTTTTAATGTAAAAATATAGTTTTTCGTTAAAACAAATAGTACCTGAAACTTTTTGTTAAAATTCTCTAAAATTTATGTCCAATTTTAGGATGCTAAGTTCCGTTCGATCATGAGACAACTTTAAAGAGATTCGATTCATTTATTCATATTTCACGTCTCATATTTGGGAGGAGAAAGACGTGACAGATGACAACGACCTAACTTATTTTATAAAAAGAAAAAAGGATGGACGACAAGAAAAGTAGAAAGAATTTCGTATCTTTTTCTTATTTTTTTAAAAGGTCCACCTTATTTGATGGCCCAAATTTTGCCTTTGTGGACCACCTTTGATGATGGTGCTCTTGGAATCTTTTATAAAGTGGGCTGTACGGTCAAAAGAGTTAAATAAAAACTAATATACTAAAAAAAAAAAAAAAACAAAATTAGCATAAAGAAGGAGAAAATGAGTTCGCGGAGGTCTTTTTTCTTTAGTTGTATGTAGCAGGCTATATATTAGATTAGAAGAAATTAACATGTTTTAACTTTTAACTCTTCATTTTCTTACAAAATGATATCGTATTTTACAAACAAGGACATCAAGCATAAAGGCCTAAACATTTTATATATATATATAAGATGATATTTTAAAGTACTCTAATTTATGAAAAAGAGACTCTAATGCATGAAGATAAATGATACTTTCGGCAACTGATTTAAACATGCTGTTTTGACTTTTCATTTAAAGGTACATAATCTTCTCAAAATTTTGAACCATTTAACTTTATGGTTACCTACAACGTAAAGCTTCCAAATTATATTCCATTTTCGTGATGCAAAAACAAAAAAAATTGTAACATTTATTAATTGTCTTTTTGTTAGATTGGAGAGGTTACCGGACCACTTCCATTCCAAAACAATTTCTCACTTTAGGTCCCTATCACTTTTAAGTTATCGGACCACATTTACGTTTTTCTCTGGCTAACTTCGGATAAAACCTAAGTCCAATTTGCCACTTGCTTAATTATTGAGTAAATTATCAAGAAAGATCCATGCAGAAAACCAGACACTCCATGCTTCCATGTTTCTCTACAAAAAGATGGATTTTATATGTATCTAGTAAAAGAAATATGTCAATGCACTAAATTGACATATTTATTAACACGAACTTTAAAATAGATGGATAATACCAATGCATGTGAGATCTGTTTGTATTAAAAAAAATGCGTAAACAAACATTGTTGTTTTGTGTGTTCAAATTCTTGATTTTTAAAACGATAATCATGAAGACCGATTGTAGATAAAATCGAGATATTTGTTAAGATAAGATTGGAAATGAGCATATTTGATATCCGACCTACATCTGGACTCCATATATCGACCCTATCTTAATTTTTTTATAGGTCTATATATATATATATATATATGAAAAACTAGCACAGTTGGATCACCCCCGACATTTAACCAGGCACACATATCAAGTTGCACACGTAAAAGAATATGGTGCCAAAATATTTTGTTTCGATTGGCAAGGACAAAACAAGCCATGCTGCATGCATGTGAGATATATGTATGTACCTAAATCATTGATATCTGACAAACGTACACGCCCCAGCAAGCCTTGTGTTCGTATTGTTTTGTTCATTTGCGCTTCCCGCTAAACAATTAGTAACGTTGCTAGCTAATTGAAATTATGTTTTGAGAACACTCTAATACGTGAATTAGTAATATTTATAGTATAATTAAGTGTAACTGTTGCACTTAATTTTTTTAAGACCTACACAAATACCTAATGATGCTTAAGTAGTATCAATAAACTTGTCGCTTAAAAGATTTGTTAAAGTTAAAATTTTGTCCGTTAAGTGTTACTGATTACATTTCTTACAATTAAAATAGAACACCTTTTAATAAAAGTAAAACTTTCGTAAAATAAGTCAATTTACTTGTAGTTCTAGTGGGCACAATACGGTAGGGTTTATAGATTAGGTTTGTGTGTGTATGGATATGTAATATTACGATGATAAGGTGAAGATATATAGGTAAGGAGTGACTTGCCTGTATTTCCACAAGAACGGTAGAGTATGCATAAGCAAAGGCAATGTCTCCAATGGCTTGGAATGTCTTCCAAACTTTCTCGGAGGCCGACACATCTATCCCGACTGTAGTTCCGGTTAAGGTAGTCCTTGCATGTGGTCCACCTAATTCATTTTCCATACAATAACAAGTTATATTATCCATTTATATACCCATATTACATATATAAACATATATATCATCTGTACATATTTGAATATGTTAGGGAATTAGGGTTAAATATTACCTATAACTTTTGCTACGGAGAGGCCAAGGCCTATTGATGAATAGGCAAATGACATGACGGCTGCAAGTATTGAGAGCCACGAGAGTTTATGAAAGTTTTGTATTTGGCTGAGAAAGAGTTGGATGCAAGCAAAGATTATCATAAAAGGGTTATTTGATGTGTGACACTTGACATGATGACCATGCTTGTGAAAACAATTCGACCTCTTCACCGCCCTGCATTATTACAAAACCTCAAAGTTAATTTCACTCAAAAAAATGAAAACAAAAGAACGAAAGGTTATTGCAATCTTGCTTATCTTTTTACAATAAATTCTGTTTTATTAAAGAAAGCGCGGTATATATAGAACCATCGTAAGTACCAAAATTTGTTTAAAACCTCTTAAATATTTCACTGTTTTCTTTATTTGTTACAAAATATAAGAGTGTTTTTCACATTTAAAGGTCTTATCGTCTAATTTTTGCTATAATAAACCGAGATTCTAATTAAAAATGACTTACACACAACCAAATATTGTATTTCAATAATATTCTATACTAAACTAATCTAAAATACAGATATCATTGGCTGCCTATCTCATTTTATGGTCAAATTATGAAGCCCGAGTTTATTATTTGTATATATGTATATATATATATATTAACGCATAGACAGATAGGTTAGTGTGCATGATTTGGTGAACAAATTCTGCGAATCTAATTCATGTCGTTGAAAAAGTAAAGTAGAAATAGAGATTCTTGTCACATAAATACTAAATAAGTCAAAAAAGTAGTAGTCATTTGTTGAATATCGATGCTAATGTGAGCGGCTGCGGCTACTTACACCATGCTGATGGATGCAGTAATTGTATAACCGATAGTAACACCAATCAGATTTCCATACTGAGCCAATCCACACAGCTGCACTTTTCTGCCTCCTGCTCAAACAAACCCGACAAAAATCGCCAGATTAATTACACCTTTGATTAATATAATATAAACTAATAAATTAATTAAGTAAATAAGAAGATAATATGTATATATTACCTAGATTGGCTTGTACGACATCCATGTAGGTGTAGTTTCTTTTGCCGCTGACAGGGTCGGGAGACCTGTAACAGTCGGCGAGCAGAGTGGAGGTGAAGAAGGTGATGAAAGAGAAGGCGATGAGAATAGCAGGCCCTGCAACCCATCCCAACTGAGCGATTGTCCATGCTAGAGACAACACCCCGGACCCTATCACAGCCGTTATGATATGTGCACTAGCAGTCACCCATGTCCCTTCAAAATTTCACAAAACCACAAAATCACGTAAGTATATATGAATACATGCATATATTTCTTATTAAACAATTGAATGAGATTCTGAGTTCAAATCTCTTAGACGACAATTGTGTGTATATATATATGTGTGTGTGTGTGTGTATGTATGTATGTATACCGGTTCTTTTGGGACGGCCATCGTCGTCCACGTTCTTGCGAAAGTCACCGTTTTCGATTATTGCAGGGTTGTGCTCTATGTACATGCTAGTCTTCTGAAACTGGCCTGCCATCTCTCTCTCTCTCTCTCTCTCTCTCTCTCTCTTGATTTGTAGCTCTTCGTTTTAGTTGCAGGGGAGTTGAGAGAGAAATTGCACCAAAAGGGTTTGGTACTTGGGTTGTTATAGAGAGAAATGGGGAGTGAGGAGAGTATATATGAATCAGTGAAAAGGAAGGGGGGGTGGGTGAGGGGAACATTAAAAAGGTGATTGGGGGAGAAAATACTGCAATGAAGGGTGAGGACCATAGTCAAAACGAAAACTTGTGCAAAAGCAAAACATGTGTAGTCAAAGACTCAAAATGGTAGGTAGGAAATTGAACGATTTATGAACCGAATTTACTTGAAAATGCAAATAAAGCAAAAAATAATGCTAGAATATCACATATTTATATCATATTAGTGTTTTATAGCATGCAATAAATTAGGCATAAAATAAATACTTAATAGATAAATTCACTAAGGATATTAGGGGGAGCTTTACCACTTAGTACTACGGTCTAGTGGTATTCCTCTTTCACTTGTAAGTGAGAGGTATTTGGTTCGATTCTCGTCAAGACAATTTTGAACCACATTAGTGTTAGTTCATTGTGAGGCTAAGCTTACTCATTCTCTCTTAGTGTAGATAATACTCGATACTCGTTTGTTAAAAAAAGTAAAATAAAATAAGGGGAGACCCTTGGAGATGAGTTTACCCCTTGGAGATGAGCTCATTCACCTCTTGTAAATAATGTATCTTGACCATACTACTTTTATAATCGGAATCATTTAATTTCTTAATCTTCATTGAAAAATCATCTCTATAATATGAATTATTTAGTAATTCAAATGTGTAGAACAAATAAACGGTGTAGGTATTAAGTAATATATTTATGATTAACCTTTCATGTATTTGATATGTTTAGATGATTAAACGATCTATAATTGGAATGATTTTTTTTTAGGATTGATTGTCAAATAAAGAATAATAAATTGAACAGTTCTAATAGTTGATTTTATTAAGTGAAAATACATTATTTGCAAATATATGAACGTAGTTTCTCTTATCTTTTCCTAAAAGGAAACAAAAAATGGCTATAATAATAGGGGCTTTGAGAGCCTAGGCTAAATGGTTGGCTTGGAAATTGTCCAAATTATTATTAGGGTTTAGTGTGCTTGTGCACCGTTGATAGTGGTAAGCTTAAATTAAGGTCCCCACATTCGTTGGTTTTGGATTTGGTCCATCCATTTGGAGGGTTTGGATGGCACCCATTGATTGTGGATTTTGAAAGTTAGTGTGAGAATAACTCTCTCTCCCCTCTATCTCTCTGTCTCTGCATTTGTGTAATCTCATACATCTCATACACCTGTGCTTTAGGGCGGTCCCTCTGCTTGCGACTTGGGTTGGTCTCAGAGAGTCCACCATTCTACATCAAGAGTTCGAAAATAGCACGGAATTATTTTGTTTTAGCACATGCTTTCCTTCCTGTATTCGACAGTAAATATATTTCATTGACCTCCATTGAATTGTTTACGATTATCATAATGTATGCTGGCCCTGCGGCTGCCGACTATATTTCATCATGTACATATCTTCAAAGAGACAATATAATTATAACTCTTTAACACATAATATTGTACCTTATGAGTTATTAATTAGGGAAATGTCGAACAGCTAACTTTTGTTTGCCATATACTAAAAACTCTAGTCTCATTTTTATTAAAATTTTGAAATACAGGCATGCATTTGAGTCTGCTCAAATAATAATTAATTAAAATCCAATCAAATAATAATTAATTAAAATCCATTCAAACTCTTTGCGTAGTTCTCACATTTAATTTAGAGGTTATATTTTTTTTAGTACATCGATATTTCTACACTAGGGGAGGGAGAGTTCGGCTAAGCCACACAATAAGCAGCCTAATTTGGTATCGAATTCGCTATCCACAATATTCAAATCTAAGACCTCTCACTTCTAAGCGAAGAGTAATACCATCAGATCATCGTACTAAGTGACTAGTGGTTAGATTTTTAAAGAGTTATAAATTCATGGAGTTTGATGGAATACAATGGACTCCCATGAGTTTTATGTGAAATTTGAGTTTATTTAAAATTTGAGAGAGAGGGCATGAATAGTCTAACATACATTATGAAACATCTCCAAATCCATCAAAACCCCTCCCTTTTAAATATCATTAAATCAAATCATGATTAAATAAACTCATATTTTTATAGACTTGCTAAATTCTTAATTGATACACCAAAATTTATATAAACTTTTATAAATTTCTTTAAAATTCGCTTGATTTCTTAGATTCATGTTAAATTCTAATTAAATATAGATTTTTAAACTCTTTTAAATCCAGGAAAATTTTAATTAAATACATCCATGTAAAAGTAGTTCTAGATTTTGCTAGCTAGTTTGAAAATTTCCATAACAATTTACACTATAAACTTAAACAATTTATGATTTAATTAATTGATGAGTAATATAAATATAAATATATTATAATATTATACATATCTGTTTTATTATGTAACATGTTAGAGTATATAATTAGAGATTTCATAGTATTCGGATATAAAACAATTACACACTTACCGACCTCTGTAGTACATGTGAGTTCCACATACAATGATAAGGTCTAGCTCAATCAAAGAATGTGCCAACAAGTGTTTTACTTTTCATTTGTGTGCACGTGTGTGTGTGTTTTTTTTTTGTTTTTACAAATGATAGCTAATGAGCTAAATTGTCAAATGTGACGCACCCGGGAGGGGATCAATAGGAGTCGAACCCGTATCAAAATACATATGCATTATTGCTTATTGCGATCACTTTTGTATGTTTAATGTAGAGTAATATATATAGAAGCGCTCAAACTCTAATTAGTTGATAACTTAGTACAGCGTGCATCCCTCATCTAAGCTTGCTCCACAATATTTTTTGTAATCTTAAATGACCATCTTTAGATTATCACTTAATGATCATACTTGCAAAATTTCATGAAATTGGAAGATGCTTAGTTATCTTGTGATATGATAAACAAACGAATATAATGTTCTTGATGAACAATAAAGTTTCACAATGATAATTTAAGGGCTAAGCCTTTTTAGATATGAGTGGATTTTTACAAGAACGATGTATGAATGAGAATAAAAGGAGATAAATATCTTTTAACGTTTCTCAGGATGGATTTGCATATGTCGATTCCATTAAGACCACATGATCTTCTACACATGAACTCCATAAATTACTTTGTGAAGTGAATCCAAATAAATGGATAACCCCCTGTTAAGTACTAGCTAGTTAGCGCTTCGGGCTTCTACATGTATAAATCAATGCCAATTGCCAGGCATGGATGCTTGAAAAGGATGAAATTGATTTTTGTAGGTTCTCTTTCCTTCTCAATTGTTGGTTGGTCAAATGTATTTTAATAAAAGAAGTAGAATTTTGCAGAAAGTAGAATTCCCATATTCTCATCGATCCTTGGAAGACAAAACTAGTAGAGAATAATAATGTGCATTTTTTCCATTGCTGGTGGAGCATCAACAAAGCATTAATTTACTACTTATTTTAAGGAACTCCTTCTCTTCGTCAGTCATATGCTTATTAGAATGGTTGGAATTTTGACATGTGTTTATTCTCAAACTCAATCACGAAAATCATTTATTTCTTCCTTTCTACCCTTCTGAAAGCATCGTTTTCTTCCTTTTTTAATTCATATCTATGCGGTTAAGAACATAATAGGATTGTCTATCCTCCTAATTTCTCTCCCATTCCTTTCTCTCCTATTTAAACGGTTATGATTAAGCCACGTTAATATCTTGTTTTGAATATTTTATATAGAGAAAAAGACAGAAAAGAAAGTGTGATTAAAGAGAAGGGAAGAGAAGGGAAGAGAATGATAATAGAAGCAGAGAGAATCCTATTCCATTCAAAACGAGTGGAATAGAGAGAATTTTGGTTTTGCAAGCCAGACGCAGGTCAAGATAACTTCTGAAAAATAGATTTATGCTGGAGTCTTAGAATTATTCTTGCACATTTTTTGAGTCCTAATTTGGTAAATATGCTTTGGGCTTTCCTAGTTTCCCTTGATTTTGGATAACATGTCCTATTATGGATGCTTATAGATACACCATTTTATGCATTTATTAGCTTCATTTGTAACTTAGCTGTGTTAACATGGCAGATATATGCAAGAAAATGACGTCTTCAGACTCCACAATTAGTAATAACGAGACAAAATTTATTTAAAACAGTCATGCGTGACCTGGGATTTTGTAGGCGTTAACCATCATTGCTTAAACATTGTAACATGTAAGTTTTGCGTGCAGATAAGGATGCAACATTGTATTAGATCAGCAAATCTTGTCCCGACCTTGATGAGTGACCAATCTAACTACCAAAGAGTAAATTTTTTTAACACCAGTTTCAGGAAGATTACAGCATTTGTATAATCCAGTTGTAGTTTTAAAATCTTATCGGCTAGTACTAGTTTGATGATCCGTGAACTAGATTTACCCTACTTGTCAATGTTAGGCATGATATATACCCGAAATATCAGCGGTGCAAAAAATCTCAGTATATAATTAAAAGAACTAGCTTGGTATAACTAGCTGCATGTGTGAATGGAAGATGGTGGGCGGACAGCGAAGACAACACAATACTCGATGAACAAAAAACGAATAAACTTTGCATGCATGGTCGATCCATGGAATGGTCGACCCCAGTTGACGGTATATAGTTGTTTCAGCTCACAAAATTCAACTGTGTTGTAGGGAAAGTTTAGAGAGAGAGAGGAGGGAGGGAGGGAGGGAGGGAGGGAGTGCGAGAGGGACGGCAAGGAGTAAGGGGCACTAAGAATTTTTTTATTTGTGTGTTTTCCTTTACGTAGTGCCTTTGTTTATACTAATATTAATCCAAGATAGAGTTTATTTGTTCTACAATAATTACAGAAGTACATGATACTAGTTCATTTTTAACCCTACTTTTTTTTTCTTTCCTAATTTACACAATCACACTTATAAGTAAATAGTATTTACAACAATCTTTCACAATTCTATCTAATTATAGGCTTAATTGGATTATTAGTCCATGTGGTGATTAGGTTAGCTAGAAGATAGCTCATATGGTAAAAAAAAAAAAAAAATTTAGGATTTAAGCTTCTGTGGTGAAGTCTGTTAGGATTTAGGTTCAAAATTGAAAATTTCATCAACTTTCTGTTAATTTAGTACATAAAAGCTTACGTTTTTTTACCACAGGAGTTCTCTTTCAACTACCCTATTACTAACGGGACTAATAATCCAATTAAATCTTACATATATGTCGAGATTTCTCTTGTTCTACTTCTTCTTCTTCTTTTTTTTTTTTTTTTTTTTTTTTTGGATTTTTCCTAGGACGGCTTCCTCAGGAGAGTGCGACATGATACTCGTAACTTGTAAGCCACCCATGACGACCCATCCTATCTTCTTTCTATCCGCCCCACCATTTTTGTCAGATTAGGTTTGATCATTAGACGGCATGATTATCGACAAACATGGTTGACCTAGAACATTAATGTAACAAAGATATAGATACAAATATAACAATAAATTTGTTAATTTCTTGGGGTGCAAAGCACCAAACTTATACAAATTAATGTGAAGGTGACATGAGAGTAACAATCACACGGAAAATAATGGTGCCCGGAAGTGATTATGACATAAGAAATGCTATTCAGTCGAGGTTGGAGTTATAACAAAGAAAGAAATTAGTTGAGAACCAATTAGCAATAACCCTGCTCCTTATTATAAGTTAATGTGAAGTTCCTTAATTGTGTTTGCACTAAACTTAACATTGTACTTATAAAAATAAATATATGTTTTTACTTAGAAAGTAAGTATATAAAGTGGATGAAAATCTTAATTCAATTAGGATTGGTGCTTGCATGGGAAAAGAATAAATCCGTTTGTTAAACAGATCAATCAATGCTATGCTTTCTTAGTTCATAAGAACATCTCATTGACCTAAACTCTACACCGATCGATATCAAAGTTGGTCATGATACTTACATGAAATTTTATAGTAGGAGAAAATTAACTTACATGAAATTTTACAGTGGGAGAAAATGGAATATTATAAGACGTAAGGTTACATTACGAGCTTAAGATGCATCTTGAATGGACCAAGAGTATAACGAGTGTAGTCACTTACTACTACAGTCTAGTGGTATTCTTCTCTCACTTGTAAGTGAGAAGTTTTAGGTTCGATTCTCGTGCAAAGACGAATTTGAACCATATTATTGTTAGTCAACTGTGAGGTTGAACCCACGTTCTTCCTCGTAGTATAAATAATATCATTTGTTAAAAAAATAAGAATATATCGAGTGTAAGATTACATTAAGAGCTTAAGAAGCATATCGAACAAATATTAGTGATGGAGAATAATGTGACTAAAATTTGACGTTACATGCACACCTCATCTTCACCATGGTCCACGCAGTGACCGAACAAAAGTTACTGCTAGAGACAACATTATATATATTCTTGCATGTAGCTTTTCGTTATCGTTTTCTTCTTTTCATTTTTCAATTTTTCTAGTTTCATCTCATTTTTAATTTATTTTTATTTTCTGAAAGGGACCAGGTTGGCAA